CACCAAAAACAAAAAATTCAATAAAATAAAGGAAATCTGTTCTCTTCCCCCCTTGGTAGCAGCAGCAGCAGCATAATGAGGGAATTGAATGGCGGAAATCCCCCGCTTATACCAAGTTTGGAAAGGAAATAACGTATGTTGCTCTGCTCATCATTCCTACTATCTTTTCGTATTTGGCTATTCCTTTATTTTGCTCTGCTCATCATTCCTTTATTTGTTCTCTCTTTTTGTAATCTGTGGTTGTTCGAGGACAGTGGGTTCTCGCATAAATTGAACTGCTTGCTTCCAAGATTTAATATTTTCGGATTTCTTTCTCACTCTTCTTCTTTTTTATTTTTATTTTTAAATACTTGAAAGTGAGGTTCCCTAGTATGGACTACTATAGAATGAAATTTGATTGTTGTGAGTATTTTAAGTTGATAGATTCTTTCACGTTTGATATTGGTTTTGATTGGTATGTGCTGTTGATGGCTTCAAGTTTAATCAAATTTAGCTAAAAGACTAGAAAAGATATATGCATTGGCAAAGATTGTGATCGATGAGGAGTTGTTGTGGCATTGGGTCAAATGTCTGGGAAAGGAGATTATGAATAATATGTTGGAGTGATCTGAATGTTTGGTTATAAGGGGTGTTGTATATATTCTTTATTTCTATGTCACTTTATCTCCCATGTTTATTGTCCCAATTGCTCACATGTACGTATTGCTTATCTGTCATTGTTCCTAATGATGATTGATGCCATCAATGACAGCGAGGGAGGCTAATATTATTGTGCGGAATGAAATTCCTTGTCAACTGTGGGTGCTAACAAAATTATTGTACAGAAATTCCTTCTCAACGGGAGGCTAGTATTTGGACCAGATGCCAAGGCATTGATAGTGACTGTGATGCTCATTGTTCTCCCTGTCGGTGTCTTTTGTGCTTTTGTTGCAAGAGAATTTCAACACCATTCTCAAGAATGCAATGCTGGATATGTGATTATGAGCGTGACAATCATACTTACAGTTTCTGTTAGTTCCTAATAAACAGCTCTGATCTACTTTGGTTTTTTTATTTATATAAAATATAAATGCTCCCTAGACTTCGTGCGTATTGTTGTTTATTGTCTCACTATGCTAATTGCTTTGGTTGCAACAGGTGTTGGTGTTTATGTTTTTGACTGCGAGTCGAGATCCAGGCATTGTTCCCCGCAACTCTCACCCCCCAGATGAAATATTAAATTGTTATTCTTCAGCCCCTGCAGTTAGCGCCAATGGAAAATGTGTACCCCATACCAAGGAAGTTAGGGTTAATGGGTTGGCAGTGAGAGTAAAATATTGCGACACATGTATGGTGTTTCGTCCTCCAAGGTGCACTCATTGCAGAATATGTGATAATTGTGTGGAGCGCTTTGATCACCATTGCCCTTGGTTGGGCCAATGTATTGGGAAGGTACGTACCTAATGCGTAGTTGTTCTACATATATAGTCGGCCTCAGTTTTTTTTACTATATGTAAAACACAAAATGGACTGGAACTTCTTGATCTAGTAATTGATGGAAAATGTGTGTTTGTGCAGCGCAATTACCGGTGCTTCTTCCTCTTTGTTTCTTCGGCAGCCGTGCTATGTGGTTTCGTGCTTTCCGTGACAGCCTTACACATCAAATTTGTTGTGAATGAACATGGAAATCAATGGAGAGCTATCAAAAAATCCCCAACTTCTTTGGCATTGATGGCAGACTGCTTTGTATCGCTTTGGTTTGTTGGAGGTCTCACCGTCTTTCATTTGTATCTAATTAGCCAAAACAAGGTAGGTGGGTAGGTAGGTTAATTAAGTACACACATCAATAAACAAAAAAAAAGTTATCTGATCTTTGTATGAAAAAAATTATAGTAATAAGGATATGCTATTGGCTTGCAGACCACGTACGAGAACGTAAGGAACAGAGGTGACAACAAAAGGATCAATGTTTACAGCCTGGGTTGCATGAGCAATTGCAGTGAAGTGTTTTGCACAAGGGTTGAAGCTCCCAAAATCAATTTCCAAGGATATGCGGCGGACCAAGCAGCAGCAGCAGCTCCAAGTAGTAATAATAAGGCCGGTGGTGGTTGTATGAAGAATGAAACAATAATGGAAGAGAATCATCCCAGCAGGGTAAGGGTAAAAGTGGAAGACGATGTCGACATTGGGGATGTTCTTCTAAAACTATCCCAGAGGCGCAATTACTCTCAAGATATTCGCGGCATTTTGGGAACACCACCACCCCACAAGTCTCCTCCTCCTGAGTCCTAATCATATAGCATTTTGATTTTGCATTTGGGTCAACTCGCGTCCCGGCCAACTTACCATCCTCTCAATCTAGCTGGCCGGGTAGGAAGGACTGTAGGAGAAACTGAAACACACAAATAATATAATGAAAAAGAAAATCTGCAGATTAGTAGTACCTACATCTTTAAAGAATATATCTTCCATTCCATGTTGAGGACAACAAAAAAGGAAAAACATAGGATATGTGGAGAATATCTCTTTTTTTAATCTCTTCATCTTCAATAATGGCCAAAGATTCTTTTAATTCTTCCCTAGCTCTCTAATATGCTGCCACTCCTTGAGGACAAGCACAAAAAATTCTTGGGGAACCCCAATTGTTACACCAAGGATAAATATAGATAATGATTGCTGTGTGAAAAAGAAAACATGTGTGTTTACCTTTGATGCCAACAGTGCTGTCACAATTAGGACAATTGGGAATCTCATTGCATTGCTCATTTTTATGCCATGTCTTTTATGCTAACCACAACACTAGTTTAATTTAAGGATTCTAAGGCAAATATAATGAAACAAAAAAGTTAATCTAACGAAATTGTCCTTGTCTATTGTTAAGTAGAGATGGCTTTCTTCCATCTCTTATACTAGACAACACTACTTTCAAATAAAGCTAATTAAAGAATAAAATACAGATATATCTAACTCATTTTTTTAATGTTATTGACTCAATTATATTGTAGTATTTGTTCATATTTTCTCAACTTAATGACGTATGATGAGTTAGTGTCTTTACCTTCGTTGCGATTTGAACTTGGGTGAACTTATCCATTAATCTTAAGGAGCAAATATTTTAACAATCAGGTCAATAGAGAAGTCCAAGAATATCATCAATATGTAAGACATGAAGTTGTTGTGAGAGATGAATAAAATGATAAGAGATATTGTATTACGATTCAAGCTTGTACATCACAACTTTTCTGATCAACTATTTTATTGTTACATGCTCCACATTTTGTACAATATGTGTGTATTCTACATTATTTGTGTTTTCCTTTAAAAAAAACTAATTATGCAATAGTTCTTTGACCATATGAATAATTTTATAACTTTTCAAAGTTCGAGAATTATTTATCCGCTTATATAAAATTACGAGATCAGAGTTTTAATGCATAAACTGTTATGTTTGTCTTAAAATTTTGCAATAAGTTATTAAGTGTGGTTGGCCATACCTAACGCATGGTACATTTAATTCGTCGAGAGGAAACGGTGGATCAGAAACCCTAGCCACGATGAAATAGTTCGTGACGATCGACCGTTACCGTGCAACAGTCGACCGATACCGCCACCATGCAACTAGTTATAGGACGGGCGACCATTATCGTCGGTCGTTCCTGGTAATGTACTAGAACACAAATTGGTTGAGGGACGATCGGCCGTTCCATGCGGCGGTTGACTGTCCCGTGGCGGGTCGTCTTTAACCTCAATCCAAAATTCGGAAATACCAATTTAAGCTACTCAAGCTCAATTAAACTATATAAATATGTTCTCTAACATCCATATATCATTTTCAACCCATTAATTCAATATTTAACAATAATTTACAGATTTGTGATTCTTGATTCATAAAAAATGTACAACACAAAACTCAATCAAATGTCTGTTTATGAACGTAGAAACGGTGTATGAACATTCAAATCATTAGATATATCTAGGGGCTTACCCCGAGCTTAAAAAGAGGAAAGTGAAATTTTTCGGCAAAACTTCCAATGACTACAGTGGCTATCTCCAATGATTCCAATGACAACAAGCTATTGTGGTATACTCTCTACACTCTTAAGATCAATATGGAAAAAGAAAGAGGAAAAATGGCGTAGGAATGAGGGAGAACTAGAGGTCCTTATATAGTAAAGAGGAGGAAGAATAAGCCACTGAAATCCTGCATCACTTTGGTGATCTGCGATCGGCTTGGGTGGCGATTCAGCGATCTAATTGACCATTGCGACCAGACACTCAAACTCTACACACTAATATATCTTTTAAAATTCATTGACAAATTTTCTAAATCAATTATTTTTGTTCCCGTCTCAGTGATTAATTAATTAATTCTGATAGACCTATTTTCAGTGCATTACACGGTATGAGATTTTACATCATACCGATCCTGGTCCCAAAATATTTGTTCCGTATAGTTTGGAATGACTTAGTATCAGTTTCAGTACTAATCGAACACAAACATACCTAGTTTACACCCTTTATTTTTTTTAAAATAATTAACAATACCCTTTATTTGTACAAAATTGAAAGTGCATTTAGAAAAAGTAATATAAAAAACTAAAAAATGAATATTTAAATGTAAGAAATGTGTCAAAACTTAGTTTATATTTCACAAACAAAAAAATAATAACAAAATAGTATTTCAAATATTTGTAAATATTTTTATATTAATATAAAAAACTAAAACTCAAACAAAAATATAACTTACATATAATAGAACTTAAAGTTTTTTAAAATAAATTAATTATTTAATGAAGAAACATAAAAAAATTATTATCATTTCAAAAAAATTGTTATTTTCATACTCATAATATATTATTATATATATTCGATTTTGAAATTTCGATATGAAAAATTACCTTGTACCGTTCTTAAATACAATACTGACCATTTGATTCAATATGATTTGATTCTTTCTCGATATTTTATCGTTTCAATATTTTTTAGTTCCATATTTTTAATTTTTCTCAAGATAACTAGGTATTCTTTTCTCTTTCTCAAATGCCACCCAACCCCCAGCCTACCTCCTTATCATCTTATGTCTGAGGACTTCATCGTATCTGCAATCCTCAGAAAACCCTAAAACAGAAGGAACACTCTAGGGTTTCACGCCAACGTTACCCGTACGCATTGGATCGCAACTCCGGCAAGCAGCCCCTTTGCTGAAAGCTGCTCGCGAATGGACTTCGACGAATATGATTATCTGGAGAAGGCCGTGGAAGAGATTAACGCACCATCATCGAAGAGCAAGGACAAGGACAGAGAAAACATCTCCGAGAAGGAGAAGAGTGAGAAGAGCTACCGAAGGAGGGAAAGGGACGAGAGCGACGATATAGTCGACGAGAGAGAAAGAGATCGAAAGAGCAGTAGAAGATCTCGTGGCGCGGATGTGGAGAACGGCAGGGAGAAGGAAAGGGACAGGGACAGGGACAGAGATAGGGAGAGGTCGTCCCGTCATAGGAGTCGTGAGCGGGAGCTGGACAGAGACAAAGAGAGAAGCTCAAGAGATAGGGAGAAGAGAGAGAAAGACAGAGACAAGGATAGGGAGAGAAGAGATAAGGACAAGGATAAAGAGAGGGATAGAAGGGATCGGGATAAGGAGAAGGATAGAGAGAGGGAGAGGAGGAGTCGCAGCCGCTCGAGGCATGACCGTGAAAAAGAGAGGGAATTGATCAGAGAACGTGAGCGCGAGTTTGAAGCTAGAGATAACAGGTGATATTTCACTTTGCGTTATATTGTTTGTAGTGTATGTTCATTGCATTGAATTTCCTTTCATGGCAACATGCATTGTTTTTTTCTTCTTAATTTTGAAGTGTGAGGAATTGCATTCAATAGACATATGTGTTGCTTTGGATTCATGAATTTTTATTAAAGATGTTGCTTACAATTTGGTTGTCCAGTTATGATGTAGGGTTAACTAAATGATGATATCTTCATAGTGAAAGTTGCTGGATTCATTTATGTTTCAATGCTTCCGACTTTATTATTTATTAGTTCAATCTACATGGTTGCTGGATCTGTCTCTAAATTCCTATTATGTTCCAAGTGTTATTCTCTATGTCTCTTTGCTTGAGACAATGAGACACGACTGATGGAAAAAATAGGTTATGAGGTAATGACTAGGTGAAGTACAGTTGCTTGTGTTTGCTGAGTAGGTTGAAGCGTAGAGGGGCATTTAAAATGGGTATAGTGAATAAAATGTCTAATTGTGTACACTTAGAAGGATGTAATATCTAACTTGGGTTGAAATCGTAGATGGATTATTTCCTCATCTTAATGGGCTAACAATGCGGAAACCTTCAAGGCTTCAATGAGGGAAGTGGCTTTTCCACATATTGAGTCACATAAGGTCTGTTAAGTTTCTCCTTTTGACCTTTGAGTTTTGTCTCAATCTTAAATCCAATAATTTGTTTGCATAGTTGGATTTAAGGTTACTATGTTAAATTTGATTTGAGATTTTGACGAATTATGTATTGGATTTCTAGGTTGGCAACGCATATGGTGTGATGCTGTATCAGTTTTTCCACCTTTTGTTCACTACGAAGACGAAAATGCTTTAATTCCATTTCCTGTGCAAACAGGGTTAATTACTCAAAATGTTGATGTCTGGGGTGTCCAATTAAGCTTTAGAATTTCTCTTTGTTGGCAGATGGTTTGATATGTTATAAAAAAAATTCGTAGGGAACTTTTCTCAGTTTCACACTTATTTTAGGTCTTTAATGTAATCGTGATTCATTGTTGGTCATCGCTCTCTTTATGTTGGTTGGCTCTCTCTACTTGGAAGTTGGGTATCATCATAATTATATTGGAGTGATGCATTTTTAAAAAATCCGCTCTATTAGGCAATCTCCCATTTCTAAATGGAACAAAGATATTTTAATTCTTAATATACTTGGTGAAGTTTCTACTTGTTGAATCAGCGATATTTGCATTCTTTATCTAGTTTTTATCATTTGCAAGTACAATTTGTTAACGCAGCATGTGGGGAAAAAACAATGAAATATCTTTTGGTATTATGCACGTAGCCAATGATTTTATGAACAGGTTTAGTTTATAAGCTATTTTTTCCCAAATTTTATAACCGCGTGTATCAAAATCTCTTCATTTATCACCTGTTGTCTTTTTATTTTCTCACACGAAGAGTGATAGTTTTAGTCTTCATCTGTCTATTTTGTTAGCCATTAAAAGTTTTGAATTTGTAACATGGTCATTTATGTAGTGTATACATTTATAGAGATGAGGACAATTATGTGTTTAATGAGAGTTCTTTCAGCAATTAATCAAAGGTTAATATGCTCATATCTATATGTGACATTCAATCATTCATTTCTTGATACTTATTACGCTTTGAGTAATTGATGCAGGCGATTTAAAGAAAAGAAGGAGACGACCGAGCCAGAGGCTGATCCAGAGAGAGATCAAAGGACTGTGTTCGCTTACCAGGTAGGTTATTTTTTAATTCTTATTTCCTACTGCAGCCTAAGTTTAATACCACAACAACTTTTATTTCCTCTGATATGTTTGAATGAGATTGGTAAATTGGTTTGCTTCTGTTTTTTGGATAAGTTTTTTAAAGCTATCGTTTGATATTTATGGACCATGTGGTTATTTCCCTCAGGATTTGTTATTAATGTCCATCGCAAATTGTATTTTCTTGCAGATGCCCCTGAAAGCAACTGAAAGGGATGTCTATGAGTTTTTCTCACAAGCTGGAAAGGTTAGCGGGAATGATTTTGTCCTTTTCAATCCATAAGCAATGCATATAGGATTGTATTCCCAGTACATTCATTCTCTAGTAATTGCTGACATTGGATATGGTATTATTATATCTTTTAATGGCCCACTTTAGACACGTGGGGAAGGAATTATGATAAAAGGTTCATAATATTATGAGCACAAAACTGTTTGTATTGTGTTGTTGATAATCTGCCTCCGTATACTGTATGTGCATGTCCTTGCTGACCTGGAAAATATATCTCTGCAACTCTGCTTCAGTATTAGGTAGGCTAAGATAAGAGTTCATTTTCCAATGTTTTCACTGTGGTTGTATTAACAGGAAATTTGGATAGTTCGTAACTGATTGTTATTCATGGCCGCTTGCAGGTTACATGGTCTGTTGTATGAATGTGCAAAAGGCCCTCTAATTTTACTCTTTATTTGCAATTATGTCAATTTTACTTTTTTTTTTTTCTAATTCCAGGTCAGGGATGTACGTCTGATCATGGACAGAAATTCAAGAAGATCAAAGGGAGTTGGGTAAGTTCTATTTTGCTGAAGCTTCTAAATAGAATCCTTCTAAGTATTGAAGGATTAATATTTCCAAAGTGTTTGCGAGATCTTGCTATTTCCCTCTATAATGCCTACTGCAATGTGCCTTGTGCATTAATGTTCAGTCCTTTGGTTGGTCTGCTCAAGGGCATACCCCATTACTTGGATGCATTAGATTATTAGCTCATTAGATGGGTTTTTGAGAAATAGTCAGTTTTAAAAGTGCTATATGCCTTATTACAGCAAGTTCTTTCTAGCACCTCCAGGCTTTGGTATGTGATTTTTATGCTCTTGTTTTCTTGAATAAGTGATCTTGTCATTTTGCATGACTTTACAGGTATATTGAATTTTATGATGCCATGTCTGTCCCAATGGCCATTGCAATATCTGGACGCTTATTGCATGGGCAGCCTGTTATGGTTAAACCTTCAGAAGCTGAAAAAAACCTTGTGCAGTCAAATACTGCTACTGGTGTGGCAGGAGTTTCTGGACCATATGCTGCTTCAGAAAGGAAATTGTATGTTGGAAATCTTCACTTCAACATGACAGAATTAAACCTTAAACAGGTAAAAGTGACTTGGTACATAGTTATTAGTTCTGAGTTGAATGGATTTATCACATATGGATGATAAGCTGTGCCGTCTCAAACCTTTTTTTTCATTTCTTTTTTGAAACTTATTTAGGATGGGGTAAGTTTGCACACTCGCCTTCCCCAGACCCCACTTGTGGGACTATACTATGTTGCTGTTGTCTTTTTTTGATTGGATCTGATGTACTAGGTTGGTAGTTCAGTCCAAACATGTTGGAATGAAGGTTCTTTAGTATATATGTAGTAGATCAATTTTGTTGTTTACAGTGAAGTTCACTTCTAAACCTCGTGATCTTTATACATCTAAGTGCTTTATGCTTACATTGCTTAGGCAATGTTAACAATGATCTTATTTAATTTTAAATTTTCAAAATGTTTTTGCACATTTTTTTGTATTATCTTTTATGTACTGGATGTGGATTCATTCTAAGACCTTTTTTTGGCAATTTTCAGATTTTTGAATCTTTTGGTCCTGTTGAGCTTGTGCAGTTACCCACAGAACCGGAAACAGGGCATTGCAAAGGTTTTGGATTTGTTCAAGTCGGTATCTGACTTAGTAGAATCTGCCTGCATTACTTGATATTTTGGCTAGGATAAGGTTTTCACTGTTTTTAAGAATGTAACAATTTTTTTGCTTAATCTGTAGTTTGCTCAAATTGAACATGCAAAAGCTGCACAGAGTTTGAATGGGAAACTGGAGATTGCTGGCCGCGTTATCAAGGTATTTCATGATAATGTTGCACATTTATTAGTTCTTATACGATATTTAGTCTGATGAGTGGACTCATATCTTGCCCTTGTTTCTGTACTATATAACTGGGATTCATAGAGATCTTTTAAGTAATGCAGGTTTCATCTGTGACGGAACATGTTGGAGCACAAGAATCAGCAGCGAAAACCGCAGATTTTGATGACGATGAAGGGGGTGGGCTGGTATATATATTTCAGTATATCAGACAGTTTTCTAGTCTAGTTTGGGCTTAATGAGAACACCAGTTATACATGTGTTTCTAGCAGAGGAGTGTTGCAACACGCCACTCCTGTTAGGCAGTAACACAGTGGGTGGACTTGCACACTTGTGTTTTATATTCTCACTATTATTTTTGAAGTATTGAATTGGAGGGAGATATGTTTGAGCCAGTACCCCCCCCCATGCAATTGGCTATTCCCTAACTCAGTGATCCATGCAATAGGTTTATAAACTATGCTATCGTATACTAGCATAAAGTAAAACACTAAAATGTTAAATTTTGTAACTAAAGCTGGACAATACTCTCTTTCCACTTAGGCATTGAACGCACAGTCAAGAGCAATGTTGATGCAGAAGTTGGATCGAAGCGGTATAGCATCCAGGTTCAGCTCCGCTCTATCCTTTTCTATTTATTTATTCCGTATTTTTCTTTTATGCTATGTTTGGTTTGAGGAATTTGGGAGGAAAGAAAAAAGGTTTCCCTCCATTTTTCACCGAATTGAAGGAAATATGTTTTCCCAATTTTAGTTTATTTTTTATTCTTTTTCTCTCATTTTCTTTTCCTCGCACTTCCTTTCTTTTCCTCTTTAACCAAATAAGAAAAAGTGTTTTTCATATCATTATTTTTTCTTTTCCCTGTCGAATTCCTTACACTATGTTTGGTTCAAAGAATTTGAAATGGAAAAGAAAAGAAAATGAGATGGAAAACAGCATTTCTTGTTTGGATAGAGAGGAAAAGAAAAGAAAAGTGGAAGGAAAAGAAAATGAGAAGACAAAATATATTAAGAGGAGGGAAAATCAAATTCCTCCTATTTTGGTGAGGAAAATGAGAGAAAACCATTTTCTTTTGTTTTCCTTCCAAATTCCTTGAACCAAACATAGTGTTAATGTCTTTATCTCTTCTGCCTTGAATTTATGCTGTCCTCATATTTGATTTCTTTTCATTATTATTTGCAGCATTACAGGTTCTCTTGGGGTTACTAGTACAGCTCCAGCAACACTGGCAGGTGTTAGCATGCCCATCGGTGGGTCCCCTGCTATGCCGGCCACAATCCTTCCAGCTCAAGTGGTTGCTGCCATGATTCCTGAACCTGTTGGCACAGCCAGTGAGTGCTTGCTGTTGAAGAATATGTATGACCCAGCTATGGAGGTATATATGTTTTGCTTTAGTAGAATTTCAACATGTACGTAGTTTTAGTGTTCATTTCAAGTGAGCTATGGTTTTTATTGTTTCTTTGCAGACGGATCCGGAGTATGATTTGGACATTAAGGAAGATGTCTATGAAGAGTGTTCCAAATATGGTGTTGTGAAGCATATTCATGTTGAAAAGTTAGTAGGCATCATCGCATTTCATCAGATTTTTCTGACACTTGATTATGAGATGGATTCCCTTGTTACATCCAATGATAAACTGTAGATAAAAAAATTAATACCCCTAGAGTTTTGTTTGTTCATAATTTTCAATCTTTGGAATATAGATCCATTGTTATAATGTTGCAGGAACAGTGGAGGATATGTGTACTTGCGGTTTGACAGTGTGGAGTCTTCGGCTCGCGCGCAACAAGCAATGCATAAACGATGGTTTGCTCGGAGATCAGTTTCCGCCATATTCTTGGTAATACAAATTGATACGTATACTCATCACTGTTCTCTTGTGTTGCATTTCCCATGTTTGAAGCCTATCATTTTGTTCACTATCTGTTTAATGGGTGTTGAACTGCAGCAACCTTACGAGTATGATGCCAAGTTCAAAGGTGCAGCTTGAACGCGTTAGAGACTCCCACCGCAGTCAAGCGGAAGTGTATTGATTGATAATCTCTGACATGAAAGCTCATCCGGACATGTTTTTTTTTGCTGTTATTGTTGTGTATTTGGGATCACTAGTCAAGTTGCCATTTTGTGGAACCTACCTGATGCTCAATTAGTAACTCTATTGAATTTTACTTGAACCATTTTTTCCCAGTAGGAATGGTAGCAAGTACTAGTGTTCCACCTAAGAGTTGATATGCTCTCTCAATTTAGGTAAATACTTGAGTGAACGTTAGGTTCACCTAAGAGTTCATCGACAATAATCACTACACGAACATTTTTCAAAATGGTATGTAATGTGGGTAACATTTGGTTAGGCAATGGGTAGTGTGGGAACATTTTTTATACAGCATCGTAACAGAATGTTTTAACATTTCTAAAAGAATAGGTGTACAGTCATTTTGTTCAAAATTGCAAAATGTTGACTAGAACTAAAATTTTTAAATTACAAAGGAAATTATAAGTTAATTGATTTAAGATTTTAATAATGTATGCGACTCCTTAATGATAACTAAGATTTATATCCAGAGCACAACTTCTTAATAAATTGTTACATTAAATTATTATTTTTATTTTATTGAGATAATAATAATAATATGAAAAGAAACCTACATAACATTTTAATGACATTGTTGGAAGAAATTAAAAAGAGTTTCTTAGAAAATTGAAAGAGTTTAAAAAACTAGATGGGGTTGGAAAAAATTGAAAAAAATTAGAAAGAACTAGAAGAAGTTGGAAGAAATTAGAAATGTTGAAAAAATTCAAAGAAATTAAAGAATGTTACTCCCTCTGTCTGAAAATAAACTTTTCATTCTACCTTTTTTCTGTTTGGAAATAATCTTTCCATTCTACTTTTTCAACCCAAATTTTCCAAAAATACCCTTCTCTCATTCTTTCTTTCTTCCCTTTCTCTTTCTCCTTCAATTTTCAATCCCACTAGATTCCAAATCTACCATTTTCTCCCATCTTCCCCCCTTCTTTGGTTCCTTCTTCATCCTCATTTTCTTCTTTCTTCTTCTTCTTCTTCTTATTTTCTCCCTTGTCTAAATAAATCTATTCTATGGATCTGCATTTGCTCTTTTTCTTTCTCCTATTCCGGTCCCCTCTTCTTCCTCTTCTTTTTCTTCTTCTCTTTCTCTCCCTTGCTACTTCCAATTAACAGCGACCATATCTGGGGCAAAGATGGTCTGAGCAAGGGACGGTTGGGGAGCTGGCGAGAATGACTGGAGAAAGGTGCGTTAGTGGGTTGGTGGAAACAGACGAGTTGGTGCTTGCGGTGGACGATGGTGAAGATGGTCGGTGAAGGTAGGGACATTTGGGACAAATTACGCACAAAGTGAACATTGTTGGAAAAAACTAAAAGTGGACATGAGAAAAAGTCAAAGTGGAAAGATTTTTCCCAGATGGAGGGAGTATAAGTTAAGAGTTAATGTTCTAAAGAGCAAAGCCTATGTTTCAGCCCAAAATGATTTTTCAAACTTTAATGATCGGATAGTAAAAGAGTACACTTAGAAAAATAACCCATGAGATGGCGACTTTGTTTAGAAACAGTGTTTTCGATTAGCCTTAACATTTTAAATAAAATTTAAAACACGAACACTAAAAGCTACTGTCATAGTTTTTAAAACACTAACACTAATATCTAATGCGGATGTCAAACGAGGCCGAAGACTGCATTAGTAATACATCATAACTAATTTTATTTATTTCAAATCGGTATATCTAACAATTTTGTTGATATCTAGTGTTACTTTTAAGATGTACACCAAATAAAATCTTTAAAAAATTATCCAAAGATATGGATTTAAAGAAAACCGACATTTCATGCAACATGCTCGTTCATTTTTTGGGTATCCTCAATTTTTTGATAAGAACTTCAGATCCTACATTATTTAAAATATATTTCGAAAGTCCTTAAAATTTGTGATAATGTATTTCAAAGGTATATTTCAAACATTTGGTCATTATTAAATTTTTATAAAACCCTTCAATTTATAATACGGAGTATTTATTATATTAGGAGAATGATTTGTTAAAGTAATAGAAGTTTCAGTCCTAACTGAATTTTCAATCCTAATGGTCAAATGGACGGAATGTACTTTCGAAGTACATTATCAAAAATTTTATGGGCAATTTAAAATGGGACGGGGAGTACTATCTACATTCTACAAAGAATTTTACCCGTACTCTTTTGTCACATTCAAAAAAAGACTTCACTCTTTCTCTTTTTGTATGTCTCAAAAATTCATTATTTTCTTTTTAGAAAAGAGTAAGTAACTCACAACTCTTATTTGTTTTTTCTAAATATATTTAAACTATAAAATTTTTATTTTTAATATTTTTTTAAACTACGTACGTGAAAGTCAAATAAGGATATTTTTTCAAATGACGGGAGTATATATATTTTTCAAATAGATATGTTAAATAAATAGAGATTCTAATTTGAAAAAATCTATTGTAAATATTTCATTTAAATTTTTTTTATATTTTTATATGACTATCAATCGATGAATATGTGTAAATTTGACGTATATATGATAATATATATAAACATATCATAAGACGTATTTTAAAAATAGAAAACGTTTGAAACGCGTACGTATCCGTATCCGTATGCCGAACGTTTAATATGCATAGTAAGCCGTATTTTATAAAATTCTAACGTATTATATACGAACGTACGTATTACGTATTATAGTTTGAGTTTGCAGTATATTACTAACTATGCTCACCAGTCCCCACGGCCCACGCCTAAACCATCCTGTGTCTCTCGTCTCTCAATCTACCCTTTCTTGTCTCTCTTCCCACCCCCCTAAAAAACCCTAGATCTAATGCTCTTTCTTCGATCAGTAATAGTGGCAAAGTTTGGACGGCAGCCCCGGGTTTGTCTCCGAGGTTCTCCTTGGCGGCTTTGCGGTAGGTGGTGGCAGCTTAAAGCGGAAGTCTTAAAAAAACATCGGAGTAATAAATCCACCCGATCTGACTTCACGCGACGCGGGAGCGGCTCTAACCCAGGGTTATGCGACTCTCTACTGTGTACAATTGAACCCACGGCGGACTACACAAGCACATCGGCGGTCTACTTGGTCTCAAAGTGAAGAAGCGAGCGTCGGATTTTGTTTATCCATGGGTTGCGCACGCATTCTTTAACCCTAGGTAACAAATCATTTTGTTTTTCTCAAATCACATTCCTGGTTTCCTTAATTTTTTAAATCCTTTCTTGAAGTCGAAAATTAATTTTAGTAATGTGAAAATAATTCCTTGAAAATGAACTTTAGTCAAACCTGGACTCCTGGAGATAGTTTTAGTACGGAGGGATTAATATTTAATGGTTCATCCAACTCAATTAGTATGAGACATTTTGAGAGGCGTTAAAAAAATATTTTCGTGAGGGTTTAAACCAAAGCAGATAATTTCTGATCCCTTGAAATTTTAACATGAATCAACAAGAAAAGATGTTGAACAAATTTTTGGTATTTTGAGTAATGTTGTCACCTTGTGCAATTGCATTCAATCGCACTTATAAAGTTGATATACATGATGTACGCTTTAAACTCAATGCACAGTTAGTATTTCACCCGTGCGTTGCACTGGAGCATTTTAATATCTTTACTTAGTTATTTTTAATTTAATCTTTTTTTTAAAGTTTAGATTAAATAATCTAAACACATATGGTTTATCTTTTTTCTGTATAATATCATTTAATATAAATTACATAAGTGGCCATGTATAATATTCTTTAGCTCTAATCACTTGATACACAATAAATAACTTTTAAATATTTTATTGTAATAGCAATGTCTAATCACTTGATACGCAATAAATAACTTTTAAATATTTTGGAAAACCTCTTTATACACAATATTTGAGGTTTCAAAATCAAGTATGTCTTCATTGTTACATACTAAAATCGTCAACCTTGAATGACCTCTAACCTTGGAAATGACAACGTTTAATTGTCCGTGACTTAAAACAGGTTTCTTTAGTAGTCCTCCAAGATTGGAAATGATTGTCCCTAACTCTTGTTTATAGGCATTGCATATGAAACAATATTGGAACTATTTTCTTTGAAACTTAAACGCAACCTAGTATCAAACAATGTTAATGAAATTCTAGGAATCAATATCTTTTCACGTAATGTTAAAGATGCAATGCATATTTTATGTTTAAATGTACAAAAACTCAAAATGTATTCACTAAGTTTCAATAATATTTTAGTGAAAAAAATTGTGTATGCAAAGTCTAAAGGGGTAATGCAAGGTAAAATAAAATAAGTTTAATGTCTTTTTTTAAATAATAAAAATAAAAATAAAAATAAAAAATAACGATAATAAAATGATAATAATAGTATTATTATTACTATTAATATTGATATAATAAGTCTAATTTAAGATTGTGGATGACTTACCATCAATTATAATTACGAGTACATTTTATGATTTTGGAAAGCCCTCATCCAAAGATAGTTGTATATTTATCATTTTAGTGGGCGGTAAATTAGAGGTGTGCTTATTTAGCAAGAGAATGTCATTTGTTGGTACAATCTTATCTAAATACACGTAAAGCTAAAGATGCAATGTAAATTTATGTTTAAATGTACACAAAGTTAATATGTATTCACTAATTTTCTATAATATATTAGTTCAAAAGTTGTGTTTCAGAAGTGTAAAGGGGTAAATACTAATTAAAAAATTGGGAAAAAATTAGCGAATAAATTTTATTTGTATTTAAAAGCTTATGTTAATATTCCGGATCTGTTGTAGAATTAACAGGTTTAAAGCTTAAAAATTGGTTATTTAATACTCCTTATGTTGTGAATTTAAAAGTTTTTTTAAAAGTTAATTTTGGCACATTTTATTGTACATTACTTGTTAGATTCATGTCCTTAACTTAAAAATTGACAATTTTTTTTAAGAATTAAATAAGGAAAGGATAAGGTTTAGTACACCGCACATTTCATTTACGGCCTTCAGAGTTCAGACCAAGAGAGAACGGTGAGAGTGAGAATTATGTCGGTGACGCATTCACCGCTGGAAAACGCAGGTGAGTCTCATGAAACGAAGCTGAAATCAACTTATTAAAGACAACAGTATCCATTCTATGCCTAATTGTTTTCTCCTTTGACTGTTTTCTGGTTGGTTCTTGAGGTAAGAAATTGTATTTGGTATGTAGTACAATATGTTTAAGTATGATTTTGGAAAATAAGATTATAAATTAGTACAACATGCCTTTTTCGTGTGGGTAAGTAATATGAAATCTGGTTTGTGGACAAGATATGTTGGTGGATCTTTAATTCATGGTACTCTGCATGAAAAAGCAAATAACCTATTGAGAGGTATGAAAGTCCAGTACAATTCTGGTCCTGTTTTTCCTTTTTTTCTTTAAAAGCTTGATTAATATTACAGACTTCTCAACATTAGAATACATAGTGGCATAATTGAACATAGTACTCATTCTCAATAGTAAGTGCAGAGCATAGATACTCAGTACACATTACATGATAATTTAAAACAAAATAAGGGAAATAGTCAGCTTAGGATCCAGTAGAAATAACACATAGGGGGCAACAGGCCAGGCTAAAACAGATTACTTAAGGATTTGTTGTCTTAATAAGAAAATAACAGTGGCTAAGATCATCATATTAATGTTTGGAGTAATGGAGCTTATATTAGTTCCATGGCTTTTAAGATCGTAAGTGGAACCCTTACATGATGACACATCAATTGCCTCAATGATGGGCTGGAGTGGTTTACTCTTAACAGAGTCCTAAAAATAAAAATTGTTTGTTAGTGAGATTGTTGGCAAAAATGAAGTTCAAAGTTAAGTTATACCTGTGCGGTAGAGATGTCATTTGTAAATGGGTCACTATTGTCTTATCGGTAATGATCTGGTGGACAGTAAAGTCCTTTTCAGTTCAAAGTTAAGTTCAAACAACAGTGGCTGATCAATGATGAAGTAAAACACCTTTGGGATTTCAATATCATCACCCCGAAATTGTTTATAACATTATAAATAAAATATATAATAGTATGTACATGGAAATTAAACTTGTACGAAAAAGCATACAATATCCTTTAAAAATGCTTTAGCTTGTTTTCCAAAGAGTGGTATGCAATGTTTATCCCACAACATCAACGCAATGTTTCCTGTATTGTCAACTACCCAGACTTTTAAGTGGTACCTAATTGAGTTTTCGCAAAGAAAGTGATATTTAATTTTAAAATTTTACAATGAAAAAAAAACAAAGCCAAGAACCAAGGTGTTCAAACCCAACAATCTTATATACTGACCAGACACAACCCTTCTGTGAATTAAGTTATTCATGTTAAGTGATTACTTTTAAAGCAAAACATGCATATTGATCTGTAAGAACAATTTAGAGTAACTTATTTGTTTTTTTTGTTGTTTTCCTGTACAAAAAAGTAGTCAACTTTAAATATGAAACATTACATGGTATTATCGAATATGCTTTATATATTTTAATGAATTTTAATTTCAGACTATTATTGACTCCTACCAATCTCATATTTCTTAATGTGTAGGTTTTTTCAAGTAAAACCTATTGTAACTTTCAAGGCATAGGCAATTTTTTTTCTGGAGCAGATTGTACTAGCTATTGACAAGTTTCATGAGGTAAATTTACTGTTTGGTTTAGGTAAATTTTAGTTTCAAGCAATATTATTCAAGTTAAATGGCGTATCTGTCTATATCATAGGATACTTATCATAACAACAACAACAACCTAGTTGAATTCTTTGTTTTTTTTATCTCTAAATATGAGATATAATTACAAAGTTTGAAATTACCCATTTTTTTGCATTAATATTTTTATTAAACAAGAGTTGTCCTTTTTTTATTTTTTAATATGATAGAGTTATATGTTATAATTAGAGAAAAATGTATAGTTTTATACCTCAAAATTTTCACAAATGTCTTCTAAAGTCTACATCAAATGTTGAAGTTCATGTTTTCAATGTCAAAGCAGTTAAGCATAACACCTTTTGTTTAGGTGCTCCCCTAGACATGCGAATTTATTTGAATAGCATTTAACACAAGTTCAATGACATACTTCATAATTGTATAGTAAAATGCGCTTATTGTTTTTTTGAGGGTGGAATCTCAGGGATCCAATTTCCTGCCTTGCCATCCCTTTCGAGGATTGTGATCGGCGTGAGTGGGGTTTTCCCTTCAACAACACCATATCCCAAAGGCTAAATCAAATGCGTAAGAGTTTATTGGATGGTTTTTCATAGTGGATCCTATAGAAGAGTATGTTGATCCTTATGGATTACAAATCATATGTGACTTTGGCATGGACTTTTATCCCTACACCAAGAGGAGTTTGGTTGAGAAGGATTGAAGGAATTTCAAAGGTTAAGGGGACTGAGTTTGAGCTCATTACTACTTCCTTGGACATTTGTTTGTCGCAAGGATGAGCTTGGGTCCAGCTCCCATCACTCAGAAACCTGTTGAAGAAGCGCTTAACAATAAGATTGTTCTTCTTTATCTATGCACAGAGAAAGAGAAAGATCTAGCTGATAAATTTGCTGTGCTTAAGGAGGGTTACGAAAAGAGAAAGCATTCAAATGTTGTTGAGGTGGTTGCTGTAAGCATAGATGGTAGCGGAACTAGTGAGGAATGCTTCGTGGATAATGGGTGGTTGGTATGCCCTGCATACCCATCCATGTCAGCTAAACTTTGTGATGAATACTTCCATCCTCTCTGTGGGCCACACGAGGCTGTTGTTGCATTTGGTGAAGATGGTATGATCCAATCTATGGATGCTTCTCACATTTTGGAATGTCAAGGTCCTCATTTTCATGGCAATCTGCGTGAAGAGATTTGTCGAGAATTTGATGACGCTGGCTTTCAATATATGCGGCACTATGACTATAGTTTTTCCGTGAAGAATGGTTTGCATGATAGTTATATAGTTTAATTAGATTATTTAATTTAGTTAATTTGATAGCTTAACAAGTTAATTTAATTATTGTGTTGTGTTTTTCAGGGGCTGATATCAAATTGGAAATAATTCAAAGAGTGGAGACATGCTTTTCGAATGTAAGGAATATAAGATCGGCTCATATTTTGAGACAGAATACCCCGTTTATTCCGAATCCTTCCTACATGTGCTCAATGTTGAGGTTGGCAAACAACTGAATGTTTTGGAGTTGCTAGAGGATAACCTCTTAAGTTTCAGCCAAAACATTCCCAGCTTTCAGCCCACCAAATTCGCAGGTTATGCGGGTTCGTGTGATCTGAATATGGGTGCGCATAAGGGTTTTAAGGGTAGTCGTAATGTTTGTGTTAACATGAATAGCACCATAAGCCTATAGGGTAAATATGTTATGATTTGTTGTGTGTTTGTGCCTTTGATTTGGTGTTCATGCGGTGGAGGCAGTGTTTCTTTAGCTTCTCATGAGCTCGCTAGGAGAGATGATTTCGCGCTGGTGGTGGTGCCAATGATGAGGAAGGGTGTCACTCATTCTCTCTCTGCCTATCAACAATTTTTGTCGTGCTTTTCCTGCCTTGCTGTCCCTTTTGAGGACTCTGTTCGGCGTGAGCGGATTTGCCTAGCACTTGGTTTTGATGGATTGCCTACAGTTGCGATTCTAGATCCGTCTCAGGAGGTCCTTTATCATGGCCCGCCCAGCATGTTTTTTCGGTTTGGAGGAGCTGAGAGTGATTGCTTCCCCTTTACTCTGGAGAGACAGGAGATTTGTTTTGGCCGTCACTGTGTTCCGCGGCATCTCTCCCTCAATGAGCTTTTGGGCCTTGCGGACACTAATGTTATGTGCAATGTTTTAAAGGACGCTAGCATATCTATTTCAGAACTTAAGAAAGAGTTTGTGTGGATTTACTTGTGCTCTGAATGTTATAGTTTAAGGAAGCTTCAGGAGGTTGATGAGGAATGTAGACGACAAAAGTTTGAACTTGAGATTGTGGTGGTGTGTTGTCCCTTTGATATGGGTGTGCCCCCAGAGTTGTTTGAGGGGCTGATCATGGATCAGCTTGCAAGTCTCAACCTGCTTGGCTGGTGGGTTTTTCCCTTCAACAACACCATATCCCAAAGGCTAAATCGAATGCGTAAGAGTTTGTTGGATGGTTTTTTCATAGTGGATCCTATAGAAGAGTATGTGGATCCCTATGGATTACAAATCATCTGTGACTTTGGCATGGACTGTTATCCCTACACCAGGAGGAGTTTGGTTGAGAAGGAATTTCAAAGGTTAAGGGGACTGAGTTTGAGCTCATTACTACTTCCTTGGACATATGTTTGTCGTAAGGATGAGCTCGGGCCCAGCTCCATCACTCAGAAACCTGTTGAAGAAGCGCTTAACAAGATTGTTCTTCTTATCTATACACAGAGAAAGAGAAAGATCTAGCTGATAAATTGGCTGTGCTTAAGGAGGGGTATGAAAAGAGAGAGCATTCAAATGTTGTTGAGGTGGTTGCTGTAAGCATAGATGGTAGCGGCACTAGTGATGAATGCTTCATGGATAAGGGGTGGTTCGTATGCCTTGCAGACAGTCAGCTAAACTTTGCCAAGTATTCTTCCTTCCTCGCGGTGGCACACACTAGGTTGTTGTTGCATTTGGTGAAGATGCTCTGATTCAATCTATGGATGCTTCTCGCATTATGGAATGTCAAGGTCCTCCTTTCCATGGCAAGCTATGTGAAGAGATTGGTCGAGAATTTGATTATGCTGGCTTTCAATATATGCAGCACTATGACTACAGTTTTTTCTTTGTAAAGAATGGCCCCTTTTCTGGACTTAGCATGATTCGGTAGGCTGCTGGCAGGCGGGGGGTCCTCCGCACGAGGTCCAAGAATTATACTTCGTCTTTTCCATAAGTGTTACTTTACTAAATATAATTTTAAATTACTACATGTCCTAATTGTTTTTCTAGGGATGGCAACGTGTCTGGTTCAGGTCGTATAGTACTATACCCGAACCCAAACCCAACTTTTAAAACCATAACCTGAACCTGACCTCTTAAGCCAAAACCCGACCCGAACCCGATATTTCAATCCGAAATCCGAACCCGACCCAAACCCGACTTTTAATCAATAATCAATTCGACTTATTTATTAAGAAATTATAAAAATGATCATAAAAGACACACTTGATATAATATTATTTTGTCAAGAGATTATACGAAGTACTCATTATATTCATAGATAGGCTTTTATGTTATAAAATATTCGGGTTTGAGTCGTGTCGAGTTTGGGTCGGGTAAATTTATAAATCCACACCTGACCCGACCCAATGTCGAGTTCGGGTAAAAACTTTCGGGTCGAGTTCAGATTATTTTATTCTCGATTCAGGTTCAGATATTTTAGTGGTCGTTCAGGTCGGTTAAGATCGAGTTCGGGTTGAATTATCATTCCTATGTTTTTTCTTTCGTTTAAATATAGTGTTAAATTTACTAAGGGCCCCGCTCCGTCCAACTTATTTTTTCTTATTTTTTGTATTTTTATTAAAATCAGATCAGATTTGATCAAACCAGATCAAATCCGATCAGATCAAATCCAATCAGACAAGATCATATTCCATCAAGAATTATTATTATTATTATTATTATTATTATTATTATTATTTTTGTTATTATTATTATTATAATTATTTTTGTTGTTGTTGTTCTTATTACTATTATTATTCTTAAAAATTAAAAAGAATAAACTTTAGAAACAAGTTAAATAGAAAACTGAGAAAGTAATACTTAATTATTAGACGTCGGAAAAGTTATTTTTAAAATAATTTGACAATGTCAATCTAATTATACCTTTAAAATACATTTTTATTGGTACCTGTAATTTGAGTTTCTAAAGTTTTGATTTTTTATAAGGATGAGATATTTTAATAAATATAATACTCTCTCTTCTATATACTGATTATCTAAATTTAATTACTTTTTAATGTATATATAAATTAAATATTTATTCTAATGTATATACTTTGTATGAAGTAATTATTAAAATATTAATTTAATATTCTAATTTCACAAAAAAATAATCATAAAATAAAAAATATTATTACATTATAATATGAATGATTATTCTAAGATATGAATTAACTAGTTTTATTTTCTTAAAAAATAATCATAAAATAAAAAATATTGATTAGATTATAATATAAAGTATCATTACAATATGAAGTTAAATCAAATTATTAATTTGAATTTTAATGGGAACAGTTAAATGTTGAATCACTGGATTTTGATTGTGCTGATTGAACTTATTTAAGGAGCCTGTGTTTTATTGAGTAATTTTTAACGTTTAATGATATTTGCGTCAGGTTGGGTCAAATTGGGTTGGTTCAGGGCATGTTTTCTTCACAGACTAGTCATTGCCTAGGCGTCACTTAACTTGCCCAATCGCCTAGTCTACCCTAGTCGGTAGTCGACTTGCAAGTCGCCATTTACAAAACGCCTGACTAGTCGTCGAGTTGACAACAATGATCAATAGTGTACTAAATAGTAATGAATGTGATTTCAGATAGGATTTTCAGATCAACCTTTTGTTTTTTCACATTTTCTATATATATATATATATATATATATATATATATCACTTCCCGGGAGGAAGTTACACCTCCATGAGTTTCCAATGGGAAGGGGGGTAAAAGTTTTTGTTTTAATGTCGTACTGAAGCAACCCCCTAATGGAGTGCAAATGTGAACTCCTACCAAGTCTGACCGTACTGAGAGTAGGGTCAAAAGGTAGCAAGGTAACCAACTCGCCATGCAATTGAGCACTTGAAACCTTCCTCCACGCATCTACATCTTGGCGTTGGTTTGGCGGCACAATTTCTTCATCTGAACTCCAAAGCCAAATGGTGAAAATTAGAGATAACAGAACTCCAAAACTAAAAGTTAGATGCACAAAACAAAAACTAAAGAGAAGAAGAATAGGTAGTAAATGGAGAAAGGATACGTACAGGCTTGTTCTACCAACGAAGTAAGCTCAAGATTGAAGTGTTGTCTACTGCGTGTCCCAAAAGAAAGTAATCCTCGCAGCCAACCCTATTCTGCGGGGAACCATGGGCGTTCCAATTATGTTTTCGATGACTTCTTCATAAGACTTGGAATAGTCTATCACTTTTCAGGATTTTTTAAGATAGCCAAATCTACGAAATAATTGTTGAGGATCTACCACGGTGTTCGATCCACCCGAAGCTCCCCGAGGCCAAATGCAGTGTAGTACAAACTCACGTCCCCCTATTCCCTTTCTCAATTTGGGGGAACCTCTATTCCTCAACAAGAATTCCTTATGACATTTCGTGGACTATTAAAAGAAAAAAAAACATTTAGGACATGTAGTATTTAGGCTTCGTTCCGTTTAACTTATTTTTTCTAATCTGATCTGATTTTTTGGTAGTTCTGATCTGGTCTAATCTAATATGATTGGATCTGATTTGAATAGATTTGTTTAGATTGATTGGATCTGATTTGATTGATTGGATCTGATCTGAATGGATTTAATTTAATCAAATCAGATTAAATCCATTCAGATCAGATCAGATTCAATCAATCAGATCAAATCAAATCCATCCAGATCAGATCCAATCATATTAGATTAGGCCAGATCAGAACTACCAAAAATCAAATCAGATTAGAAAAAAAAGTTAAACGGAAGAAGCCTAAATACTACACGTCCTATTTGTTTTTTTTCTTTTAATAGTCCACGAAATGTCATAAGAAATTCTTGTTGAGGAATAGAGGTTCCCCTAAATTGAGAAAGGGAATAGGGGGACGTGAGTTTGTACTACACGGCCTTTGGCCTCGGGGAGCCTCGGGTGGATCGAACGCCGTGGTAGATCCTTAACAATTATTTCGTAGATTTGGCTATCTTAAAAAATCCTGGAAATAGATAGACTATTCCAAGTCTTATGAAGAAGTAATCGAACATAATTGGAACGCCCATGGTTCCCCGCAGAATAAGGTTGGCTGCGAGGATTACTTTCTTTTTGGACACGCGGTAGACAAAAGGTTGATCTGAAAATCCTATCTGTAAAATGCTTTGTAAAAGTTTCATGTCAAAAAAACTTGTTAGTAATGCCTGAAATTTTAAATTCATCAAAAAACATGCGAAATTTGACATGGATTTTTTTATTTGCATGTAAAATCCTTTATTAAAGTTTCATGTCAAAACGACTTTTCAGTAATGTCGAAATTATGATTTTTTTAGTTTTGGCCTCGAGCTCTAGGGGTACCATCACATTTTTGGCAAAATTTTAAATTCATAAAAAAATTATCTAAATTTGACATGGATATTTATATTTGCCTGTACAATCCGTTGTAAAAGTTTCATGTCGAATATACTTGTCATTAATGTATAAATTATTATTTTTTTAGTTTTTGGCCTCGAGCTCTAGGGGTAACATCATATTTTTTGGCCAAGTTTTAGATTCATCAAAAAATTTGCCAAATATGACATGGATATTTATATTTGCATGTAAAATCCTTTGTAAAATTTTCATGTCAAAAAGACTTGTCAATAATGTTTAAATTTCAATTTTTTTAGTTTTGGCCTCGAGCTTTAAGGGTACCATCACATTTTTTAGTCAAATTTTAAATTCATCAAAACAAATTGCCAAATTCGATATGGATATTTCTATTTGCATGTAAAATCATTTTTAAAAGTTTCATGTCAAAAAGACTTGTCAGTAATATATAAATTATAATTTTTTTAGTTTTGGTCTCGAGCTCTAGTGGTAACATCACATTTTCTGGCAAAATTTTAAATTCATCAGAAAATTTGACAAATTTGACATGGACATTTATATTTGCATGTAAAATCCTTTGTAAAAGTTTTATGTCAAAAAGACTTATTAGTAATGTCTAAATTATAATTGTTTTAGTTTTGGCCTCGAGTTCTAAGGGTACCATCAAATTTTTTGGCTAAATTTTAAATTCATCAAAAACGTGCCATATTTGACATGGATATTTATATTTGCATTTAAATCCTTTATTAAAGTTTCATAACAAAATCACATGTTAGTAATGTCTAAATTATAATTTTTTTAGTTTTGGCATTGAGTTTTAGGGGTACCATCACATTTTTTGGCAAAATTTTAAATTCATCAAAAAATTATTCATGTCAAAAAGACTTGTCAGTAATGTTTAAATTATAATTTTTTTTAATTTTGGCCTCGATCTCTAGGAGTACCATCGCATTTTTAGCTAAATTTTAAATTCATCAAAAAAATTTCCAAATTTGACATGCATATTTATATTTGCATTTAAAATCCTTTGTAAAAGTTTAATGTCAAAAACACTTGTCAGTAATGTTGAAATTATAATTTTTTTAATTTTGGCCTCGAGCTCTAGGGGTAACATCTTATTTTTTGGTCAAATTTTAAATTTATAAAAAATTTACCAAATTTGACATGAAAAATTATATTTTCATGTAAAATCCTTTGTATAAGTATCATATCAAAAAGGCTTGTCAGTAATGTCTAAATTTCAATTTTTTTTTAGTTTTGACCTCGAGCTCTAGGGGTAACTTCACATTTTTTGGCCAAATTTTAATTTAATAAAAAAACTTGCTAAATTTGACATTGGTATTTATATCTGCATGTAAAATCCTTTGTAAAAGTTTCATGCAAAAAGACTTTTCAGTAATGTCTAAATTATATATTTTTTAGTTTTGGCCTCGAGCTCTAGGGGTACCTTCACATTTTTTGGCCAAATTTTAAATTCATCAAAAAATTATCCAAATTTGACACAGATATTTATATTTGCATGTAAAATCCGTTGTAAAAGTTTCATGTCAAATATACTTGTCATTAATTTATAAATTATTATTTTTTAAGTAATGTATAAATTATAATTTTTTTAGTTTTGGTCTCAAGTTCTAGGGGTAACATCACATTTTCTGGCA